CATGAACTTCCAAAACTGCCAGTTTATCCTTTAACACCAAAATACATGTTGATTCCAAGGACTTCACAAATACCAGGGAGAGACAGAACAAAACTCCTGCTTCTGAACAATCTACCTTGCAATCTTAATGGTGTGCATAGGTTATCACAGCTTTCCTATCAAAAATTAAAAGGGGACACCAACTTCAATCTTATACTTAATAATGCAAAACTGTATAGATCAAAGTTCTGTTAATCTCAAGTGAGTTTTGAACAGTTACAGGAAGCAGGTTGTAGCTTAATCTGGTCCTTCTCTACTACCGATTTTCTTGGGTTTATTCCCTTAGCTAAGTGAAATGTTGTCCCCATTCTAACATCAGTAACTCATTTTGCCTTATTTGCAAAGCAACCAATCAGTCTAGAAAACGCACTGGCATTTACACACAAAAATAAATGAGGTTAAACACTTTTTTCCCAAAAAAATAATTCAGCTGCTCTCTTTTCTTCTTCAGAGAGCAATGACTGGTTATTTATAGATGGAATCAAATGTCCCCCAAACATACACAGCTACACAGAGGGAATATAGGCTTCCAAATCTATCATTTCTGCTCATTTAGGTCACCTTCACCAACACCAAAATTGACATTTTTTTTCTTCTTGGCATTAAAAAACCCTACAATTCCAGACATAGCAAGCAGCAGAGCAGTCTGGACAGTCAGAGACACAAGTCATGCAGCTCAACTCCAGCTGGACCTAGACACTAGGAGCTCCTCTGCCTCTCCAGCCCTTCACACCAACCGAACAAGCCTCTTCTGAGCGCGTTACAGAGATCAAGCTCCATACATGACATGGGACAGAAGCCAGCACTGTCACACTTGAATCTCGAACACAAAGAGAATAGCAAAGTATCTGTACTACACTCCCTCCTCAAAAAGCAAAGAAGGACTTGAGTGTCCCTCTCCCACCTGCCAAATATGAAAGTATGTGGAACATCTTCCAATTAAGAAAAAACAGGAATATTCAGGTGGAAAACAGTACAAATGCAAATGGAATTCATCACTATGCATGAAGGATCTTATCCTCATTAAGACTACCAATCAAGAAAGCCTCTCCCTCTAAACAACTGGTAACAACACCCTCAGGGTGAGGGAAAGCCTGGCATCTGGTCCTCACCAGAGAAGAAACAGGGCAAGACCCACTGCCATGGCACAAAACAGAAAGAGGAGAGAGCAGGAATTCACCAACTCAGACTTCCAAGGCCTCCATAAGGAAGCTTCCGAATTCCCCCTCTGATAAACAGTCACCTTCAACAAAGGTTTTATGTCCCATATTTCAGCATATGACTTCCCCTTTGCTGACTTAATTCCCACATTTAACTTCAACAGCTAGAACCTCACCTACCAATGTGAATTCCTCAACCATAAAGCATTTTTTAACGTAGCAAAGAGCAATCAACCCAACAATAACTACAGCAAGCTCTCCACAGAGCAGCAAGTACTGAAAAAGATCTCACACATCAAGAAGTAACCTACCTATTACACACATACAGTAGATCCTTGAGCCCAAGTACAATACTTTCCAAAATACAAAAGCATAACTGCTTCAGACCTGGAATCTGCAAAGCCTGTACAGTGTTAACAGAATAAATCCATCCCCTGTCAACAGGAGTCAGCGTACCTGGCTGCATCAGCAGTATTCCTAGGTGAGGACTACCACAGACATTACTGTGTGATTTGGAACAAGACAATTACACTATTTAATAGCAGAGTTTAACCAGTCTCACTTCTCCACGAAGCTTAAAACCACTCATTTAAGCAGCATCTTCCAAATCCCGCTTCAACGAGCTTGCTTTTTAACTATCAAGATGCAACCTACAGGGGAGGATCTGAAAAGAAAGCCTATCATTCAGCATTCAAGAGCAGGTTTTCTTTTAAGCTCTCTACTAGTTTGTTGCTGACAAAGGGAAAAAATAAAAAGTTACTTTTCAAAGACAGTATTTCGCCAAACGAGCAGACAACACCACTGCAAACCTGGGGAAGCTTCCATGGTTTAACAGCCTTTTACAAGAGCCTGTTCAGAAAGCCTCCTCATGCACACACCGTGCTTCATTCACCTGGATGAGATTACGTTTTCCGTAGCCTATGAAGAACCAGGATTCAATAACGGATCGTTAGAGGTAACAATGGTAAAAGGTGTGAGAACGGCAGCGGCTGAACCGCTGCCAGACCGCTCATTTCTGGGCTATTGCGGCGCAGTTTCCAGTTAAGTTCCGCTCTCTCCACAGGTTGCCTGACACCTCCTCTCCGGTAAAGGGTCCCTACCGGTTCCACTAACACCGGCCGGGTGCTCCGAGCCCAGAAGGAGCCCGCTGGAGCTCGCACTCGTCCCAGGTGCGCTCCCGCCCGCAGACGCGGGCACAGCACGGAGCGCAGGTGACTCGCTCCCGCGTTCACGCTGCGGTAACCGGGTTCAGGTGCCTCCCGCTCCGCGCCAGGCGGCGGCGGTGACCGCCCGCTTGCGGAGGCAGCAGTGGCCTCTGCTGGTGCGCGCACCGCGCCGAGCCGAGCCCACACCGTCCGACCGCAGCCCCCCGCCGCCGGGACCCGCTCAGACCGGCACCGCCCCCCCCTCCCACCACCATCGCGACGGCTCGCACCCCCTCAGCGCCCCCTTCCCCGCCACCACTGACAGGGTCTCGCCCAGCCCCTCACCTGTGAGGAGGCTCTGGGAGCCGCTCCGAGCGGCGGCGCCGGCCGGGTCCGGCTGCCCGAGGAGAAGGGCGATCCAGAGGGAGCCGAGGAGCCGCCGGGCTCTCCCCGCCGCCATCGCTCCGCTCCCCGCGCCCGGCAGCCGGGCACCCAGCGGCAGCCCCTCCCCCGGGGGGGGCTCCTCCTGCCTGCTCCGCCGGCCGGGGCGCGCTCCTCCGCCGAGCCCCTGCGGCACTCCCGAGGCGGCGGCGCTAGGCCGGGCGGCGGGGCTCCCTCAGCCGCCGCGCTGAGCAGCGGGGCCCGGCGCGGAGCAGTCAGTCCATGGCGGGCCGGTCCCAGCGCCTCGCTCCGCCGCCGCCGCCTCACACGGAGCCTGAGGGGCGCCCGCCGCGCGCCCCGCCCCTCACCGCCTCCCGCCCACACCCCCCGCCCCGCCCCGACCCGCCGTGCGCATGCGCCTCGCCGCTCCCCTCCCCCCCCACCCCCACGCGCGCGCCGCTCCCGCCGCCGACCCTCGCGCCAGGTGTGCGCGCGCGCGCGCCCGCCGGTGACACCAGCGCGCATGCGCGGAGGGGGGGGCGGGAGCCGCCGCTGAGGAGCGGGACCCTTCCCTCAGCCCCTGAGGGGGGCTCCGGGGGGGAGCTCCGCGGGGCTGGGTCCGTGCCCGTGTCGCGGCGCTCCCGGCGGCGATGCGGGGCAGCCCGCAGTGCCATGAACGCGTGTTCTCCCCGCGTAGCCGGAGCCTTGGGCACATCCGCAGGTGCGGCCGCCCATGGGAACGCGCGGGTCTGGCGGGCGCAGCGGGGCTCGCTGGGCCGTGCGGTGCTGGGGTCCGGCGGCGATCGGGCCTCCGGAGCTGCCGAGAACAGGGAAACCTCACTGCCCCCGTGAAAATAACCTGCGGGACCTCGTTTGGTGGGGGGGGGGGGGAGAGATCCCCGCTGCTCCGCGCTGACTGCGGCCTTCACGACCAGTGTGTTTCTCAACAAGCCAGAGGCTAAATACCTGTGAGGAAAAGACCAAACGTACTTCGAAAAGGCAAATGAAATGTTTCCATCCTCCTGGGGGTAATTCGTTTTACACAGCATTTGGCATTCAAGTCCAGGTCGTCTGAATGCTGCAGCATCACCAGCCGGGTTCACTCTTGCTGCTGGGTGCTGTATCCTGACAGAGGACACAGTAACGGCTATAAACGCACATTCCTCCTTCATTAATCATGTGAAGTGTACCCTGATATTTTTCCATCTCAGCTTGTTGCCCACTAAATTACATTGTTACAATGTGCCCGCTATCCTCACTCATTTTATTATTGACTAATTGAATTGTCTCTTTCCAGTACATTAATTACATAGGACTCCAGAAGCGGTAACCATGAGATAAGTGAACCCCTGGGGCACTGCAGGAGGTGAAACACGGGTCCATCCACCCAAAATGGGTGTTTGTGTTGCAGAATGGTTTAAAACTAGTTTAAAATCACTTGTTTCAGAAAAGGGCCTCTGCCCTGGTAGTGAGACTCCTGCTAAGGCAGCAAGGAATGATTTCAGGGACATTCACTTTGCTGTGCTCCGTGCCTGTGGCGACAGAGTCCTGCTTGGTGCAGATGCCTATTCCCATGAAATTACCCTTGATCCAGTGGGATTTGCACATTTGTTTATTTGGAGGCTCTGCAGCGAGGCAGACGCTGACACATTCTGCAGGGCACCAAACGCAGGTGTGTGTGCACAGACACCGCCACACGCGGGACTGATGCACCATCACCATGAGCCCAAGCTCGCAGCCCATACAGGTGTCTGGAGTGCTTCTCATGGTGAAACCTCATTATTCTGTAGTTCTGCTGTCAGGAAACAGGGGTTTTGTCCTCCACTAAAAATACCCCGGAGCGTTTTCTCAAGGATGAGTAATTACCTCCTCAGAAGGATGTTTGGGTTTCGCTGTATTATGCTTGCCGAGCTCCGCGGATATCTGATATGCCAGAAGGATTACCAGGAAAGAACTGTAATTTATACAGAAAGTGGAAGCACTGATTAAAAGGCAGGGCTGGTGGCATAACTCCTATTAAAGCTGGTTAGCAATTCCCACCATAAAATCCTACCTTCAGTCACTGTTAATAGTGCCAGACTAACCACTGTGTTGAAATTTAAGCATCTTAAATCCACCCCTCGGGTTAAATTATAAACGTTTCTTCTTTCATTCCTTCTGTTGGGGATCTTGGATTCTGAAAACAAGGTCATTTTGTGAGAGGTGTTCCCTCAAAATCCACCATGGAAAACCCGCCTGAGGATCCTCTCTGTGCTCAGTGGGGGGGTTACCAGCACATCACAGCCCAAGGCTGCAGGAGTCGGAGCTGGACCTGCAGTTCCAGTTCCCAACTGCTCCGGACCATGCCAAGTCTCGGAAGGCAGGAAGGGCAAGCAAGGAACCCGTCCTTCCAGTCCTCTTGGGAAACACTGAGCAGAAAGCTCCCTGAAGAACATGGGATGGGGACAAGAACTGGCTCCGGGACAAGTAAGTTGGCAGGCACAAAGGGCCTGGAGAAAGACAGGTTCTCCACAGCAGTGAAGGGAAACAGGGAGTTGGAAGGGGAAACTGGGTCTGCCTGGAGGGAGGGATAAAGCAAAGCCCACATGCAAGAGTCTGGAAGCCAACCTTCTGTGGGAGAAGACTTGAAAACAGACTGGGAATGAGAGAAAACAGCCAGGAGAAGGATGTGCAGCCCAGGTGGAGCAGGAGTTATCTGTTTTCTGGCTACGGGCTGAAGGAGAACTTGCTGGGCAAAAGGGATCAGGCAGGAGAGCTGGAGCAGGGCGAGGGAGGAGGATGTGGGACCCTGAGGGGGTGCGTGGGATGCAGCAAGGGTACCAAGAAAAGGGAATTCTGTAGAGGTAGTGATGTAGAAATGGGAACATTTCAGGGACAGACTGAACTGGGACAGGCTGAGGAAAGGAAGCAGAGCAAAAAGCTGAGGATTTAGGAACGGGAATGAAGACCACCTGGAAAACTCCCATGTCTCTACTGGCAGCAAGTGTCTGAAATACACTGAGAACATACCTCATCCTCTCCAAGTGCTGGACCTCATACAAGCTATTCTGTTGCTCATACAGGATAAGTTTCCATGCTGCTGCTGGCCTGCATCAATGGCAACACAGGATTAAATTGCTGGGGTTTTTGGTTACCTCTAAATGGGGGAGAAATACACATGTATTAAACCAACAGTAATTAGGCTGCAAAGTAGAACACTCCCAAGTTACGAAGTGACCAGAATAAAGGCTGCCAGTGCTCAGACACCGAACCAAGGTCAGGGTAAGTGCCTGAGCAACTTCCACTTCATGCACTCTAAAACCAAGATGTAGGTATTTCCTGTACCCTGTGAGGAACTGCGGGGAAGGCGAGTGCAGCGCTGCATCGAGGTGGGTGGGTGCCTGCTGCTCCGGGAGGTGCCTTCAGCCTCAGAGCTCCTGCAGGATGCACAGCACAGGGCTCAAACCAGAGGCTTGACAGGGCTGCACTAATTGTGCAGGCTTCACTTCCTAGGTGCCTGGTTTGACATTTTGAAGTCTGATTTGCAGAAGTGAAGAGCACTTGCAGATACATCTGCAGTGAATGAGAATTTATTCAATTTTGACTAAATCAGATGCTTTGCCGTGTTATATTTTCTGACAAAACCAGGCCATGAGTATTTCTAATTGGACAGCTAAAATTAAAAGATACATTTTTTAGTATTCTGCCTGTATGCCTGAGTTCCTCATCTGTAAAATAACGCTCACACCAGTTCTCAACAACAGTACTGAGAAAATGAATAGGAGTTTGTGAAGCACTCGGATACCATAGTGACAAGTACCATGGAAAAACCCAGGAGGAAATGAATAAATCTGCCTTCAGAACAATATTTGACTAGTGTGCAGTAAATAAAGCACGGGCCACACAGTGAATAGTGAGGAGAAAATACAATTAGTACAGTCTGTTGTGTACAACGAGGGAGGCCGGGAACAGCGTGTGATCTGATTACAATTAAGTAGTGGATCATGATGCAAATGCACAAAGGGGACAAATTAATGTCGGCACTTCTAAACTTTTCCATTCTTGATTTAAACAAAACTAGCAAGTTTTAGGCTGCAAATGTGTGATATACAGGTACAAATCATTCCCTCACCCTTTAATAGTCAGAGATACTCTATTTACCTCGTCTACCCCAGCCACTGTTCGGTGGGAAAAGTGGTTTTCTCCTCTTGCAGATCTCTCAGCCTTACAGCTAGGATTTAATGCTGTCATTCACACGATAACATCCTGCAGTTCTCAGGTCAACATTTACCTTCTTTGGGAGTGTGTGCACGGTCATTGCATGGACAAACGGTATTTCCCAGAGAGGGATGCAGAGAAAGACCTTAATGATGGCAACTAAAGTTTTGTCTTGTGCTTGAGGTGCTTTGTATTTCAAACCAGCTATTGGGTTTGGTGCAGTTCTTATGGAACAATGACAGCTTCACTGATCTGCTGTGACTCCTCTGTCCCGAGGCTAGAACTGACTCCTGCTGAGATTTGGAGCCGCTTCAGAGCTGCTGTAAATTGCATGGGATTATCTGTTGCCCACAAGAAGGGTGATGAAATTAGGATCCAATTGTTCAGTGGTGCTCTGGTTATGGCCAATTTTCTGATCACAATTTCTCTGTTGCTTAGCGGGATGCAAGGTGACACTGAATCATTGCACCAATTTATTGTTATCCAGAGGATTTTCCATTGCTGGGCATCCTCTAGCAGCTGGTTAAGGCAGGTTTGGGATAAGAAGGGGCTGCAGCACAAATAAAGACCCGGCTCATTAAACTGAAGAGTTACAGCTGTGAGATACTCACCTTCAGTTTAACCTGCTGAGCTGCCTCCTTTGTGTGTGAGGCACCAGCTACATCCACTGACAACTCCTGGCAGTGATGACCTCTCTGAGGGTTCCTGCCTAGGTCTCCATGCCAATTCCAGCACCATAGTGCCAGGAAGGTGCACTTCTTTCATTGTTCAGGAGGGACTAGATTCCCCTTTTACCATTCATTTTTCACATTTATTGCTCACAGCTGAGGTTTTGAAACTGCTCTAAGGTTAAAAATCACCCTCCTGACTCTGCAGAGCAAATCCTAGGTTAGTGGGCCGCTTGCCAGGAATCCTCTAATCCCAGTGCATATTCACGGCATTCCCGATGTCAACAGATAAACAATTGCAACTCCTCAGCAGAGTCAGGGAGAGTCATAGACAGAGCCAGACCTTCCAATAACTAAGGTTAGTTCCCTGGCAAGTTTGAGAGCAAGAAGGAGCTCCTTGGCTTGAGTCAGCGGTGAAGAGAGTCTGAAACACGAGCAGAGCAGTTGGTGTGAAATGCTTTTAAAGGCTTCAGTTGCTGAGCAGAGGGAGCTGTTGAGGTCTAATCCAGTGTTTGTTTATTTAGGGATTTCAGGTGTAGATAGAGGGAACCTAGAATCCAAAAGGCAGGGATTACTGCATCCAATCCACACTCGAAAGGAAAAGAATAATTTAATTGTTATCAGCATGTGCATAACAACGTGGGCTATGGCTGTCTGGGCATTCAGGAGAGAAATGCAGGTAACCCCAAGGGGAAAGCCGGATGTTATTGCAGTCAATCGGATTTTTCCATCCATGAAACCAGTGTGAGATTTCATCTCTGGAAGCCTGTCATGGGATGACACTGTGCCACAGGCATTCACATTGTTATCAGTGGCACTTAGTTTGGTATTTTTCTCTGTTTTGGTGGCTGTCATATTGCCTTTGTTCTCAGATGAGATCATTACTGGAGACAAACTGATAATGGAGTCTCCACTCCTCTTCCCCACCTTCAATGCCCTCACTTTTCCAGTGTCCCACTTCTCACTGGGGCACTGTAACCCATCTTTGGCTGCAAGACTTTGTTGCATATCCAGTAAGAGATGAGGCAGATGGTCCATGCCCTCTCGTGTGAAGAGGATCAGCCTCTTCTACAGCTTAAAAAACACATAAGCCAAATGAGGATTCCAGGTGGTGTTTATCCCAAAGCACTTCCAACAATCCCACAGGAATGTTAATTACTGACACCAACAATCTTGTTCTCATTCATATAATGGGAGTGCCTAAAGGTCTTACCTGAGGTTGGGTCCTACTGTATTAGACACAGTAGGATCACACACTAAAGCAAGTCCTTTCCCCAGAGAAGGTCAGCCTGGCAGGAAGGCTGAAGGAGATCAGAAGCAGGGAGAGGTGGTGTGAGTCACCGAAGGGAGCACAGCAGGTCCACACTTCACATCTCCTGAGTCCAGCAGCTGCACTGCTGTGTAAACACTACCCCATTTGCTCCTGGTGCCAGTGCCAGGCAAGGCAGGGAAAGGAGACTGCAGTGGTGTGAGGGCAATTCCAAACGGAGAGGAGAAAGGCTAAAAACGAGGAAGAGAACTGACAGGACACAGAAACAGTCATTGCTTCTGGGCTTGGGGAATCAAGGAAACAATCTCAGACCAGCAACAGAGGATGCCTGGAAAATATATAGCCCATTGCTCCTGGTTATCCCAGCACACTTTAGAGATACCAGTTAAACCTGCCCTCTGCCCAGCATGGCAGGTCACTAGCACAGCCCTGTCACTTTGGGTTTTGATTCCCTGACAGGCACAGCTGATGTCCTGGGTCACATGGCTGGAATCCTTCATTTCCCCTGTTCTTGGCACAGTTGCTCCCTGCTTCACTTCTCCCCACATGCAGCCCGTACCCCCTGCACTCACACAACACGAGAGGCTAAGGCATGCGTCCCGGTGGCTTCCTGCTGCCGTCTCTCCCAGCTCTGGAAGCCATCCACTGCTCAGGGGGCTCATCATCTGCACCGGCGGAGTCCTGCGAGTGGGAAGACAAAGCCACATTACAAATGGAGCAAGCCTCATGCATCAAATTGAGACTAGACAGATCCCACTGTTGGGTCAGCATCTACAACTCCCACGAGTGCCCATTGCTGTTGCTGGTCAGTCATGGCTGGTTTGTATCTCAAGCTGTTTATTGCTTTAGGTCTTCAAAACTGAGTATACATATTTAATGCTTCTGGGAGCCCCAAGTCTCCTCTGCTTTAAACGGCAGAAACTGGAGGCACAGAGTTGGTTTAGAACCTTGTGACAGAATAGTAAACACGAACAAAATTACATTAGTCGAGTAATTTAACAGTTCAAAGCCAGAGGCACCCATCATTGCAATGATGTGGTGAAGACAGGGACAATGATCCACAGCAATGGGAATGAATATGGACACTGGACAACAGGTTGGGACAGGGACAGAGTCCTGTTTGCTGGAATGAACAATTATCTTGTTCATACACATCTCACAGCCCTTTAGTTTTTGGTCTGCTTCCTCCTGCTGGAATGCTCCTTAAGACCTCATCACCCCTTCAGATGCTGTGAAGGAACTTCATACAAATATAATGGGGTTTTCACGGAAAAAACACCAGACTTCATTTTTACCATGTCACTGAAAAAGGGACAAGCTCAAAGAGCTGTAGAATGAAACTTCATAGCAGGTCTTCAGGTTCATGCATCAGGCACATTCCAGATCTTACTGTGTAGCTTTAGATGTCAATTTATCCATGCATTAAAGTGCAGAGACCTAATCTGACTCGAGCCAGTAAATTCAACAGCTCATTACCAATGCCATAAAGCAACAGATCCAAGCCCTCGTTCACACAGGTCTCTACTCCTCAGGCTCATCAGGTGCCACTGAAGGATGCCTGGAGTCCTGGAGGACTCATCTCTTGGCATTGACCTCCTGCCACACGATCTGTGCACCATGACCATGGTGTCTCTCAAAGCACCTTCCTACCAAGGAGGGCAGGGGGTCCTGCAGCTGTGGCTGCCCCCTCCCTGGCAGTGTTCAAGGCCAGGCTGGACAGGGCTTGGAGCAAGCTGCTCTAGTAGAAGGTTGGAACGAGATGGCCGTTAAGGTCCCTTCCAACCCAAACCATTCCATGATTCTATGCTGCAGCTCCTGGACGTGCTGCAAAAGGCTGGACAAGACCTTGTTTGGGCAGCTGTCGGAGGAGAGCATGAAGGTTTCTTTCAAGAGAGCAGCAACAGCGATAAAGCCTCGATTTGCTAAGGAGAGAAACAAGCTCTGCTCCCAGCAGCTTCTAGTCTGAAAGCAGAGCTATGCCTTGAATCATTTTGCATACATTTAAGTTTTAAATCATTTCGAGCCTCTTGCAAATTTAAAGCATCTCCAAGAACAGGGCAAATCTGCCAGCATTTCTTCCTAGTTTTCAGCTCTGCGGCGTGTTACCCCCATTAGTGCTGCCTGAATCTGTCTCAGATGTGGGACTGAGCGATTTGGAGACACGAGGACAGTTTAGAAAGAAAAGAATCCATTTTGTGCTGAGCAAGATACTGGGCTGACAGCTCCAGCAGATAAAACGTGGGCAGCCTGCAAACAGGTGAAGCGCTTCGCTCCTGAAGCTGTCAATCTGGCACTTCTCACTGGCAGTAATTTGGGCTTTTTGTTTAAACATCCCTTTAGGGCAACAGTTCTGGAAGAACACAACCAGTCTCCCGTTTTTCCATGTTCCTCCCAGGGGCCCGGCGATCAAAGCCACGAGAGCAAAACATGCAACTCCAATGGGATACGAAACGCGGGTGCTCGTGGCATGAACCCTTGTAGTATCTTCCCCGCAGGTACGCTGTGCATTAAGCACATCAGGAGCTATATGTCTGCTGTCACAAGGTGGTTTTATCACATATTTTTATTTCCTTAGTACCTGAATGGCAGCTTTAGAAATCAAATTAGGGTCGGAATGCTCCAGTGCAGCCCCTGCCTGAGCCACTAAATCAGACCAATTGAAAACAACAAATAGGCCTGAATAGCAGTTCCTTAAGAAAACGTTGCCCTTACAACACATCACTTTTACTTCTAGCATAATCTGACTGGGCTTATTGACTGCCTGGCATTTCTGCTGCTGCCTTTGAAGTGTATTGATTCTAAGAAATATGAAATGAGTTTCAAAGAAGTCAGAATGTGACTTTGTGTCTAAGTGAGACACAAAGATGTTCAGAGATACTAAACAGAGCAGGAGACTAAAGGATGCTCACCCACAGTGATAGACTGGTGCTTTTTGAACACCACTGCCCACTGAGAAGCCTGGCCCCGGAAGAGGTGAAGGGGCTAAGCCACCTCCTGTAGAACAGGTAGGATCACTACCAAAAACTGGAAAGAATTCAGATGCTTGGAATAAGTTTCCATTGCTAAAAATGGGGACTTGGTAGAGAAAGAGGTTAAAGCTATCAGAAGTACCCTTCATTTCTGAAAGTACAGAAGTGTATGTATTCAGTAAGAAATCCATTTCTCAGAAAGACTCATTCCATGTTCAGAAACCTACAGTGAGGCTGAGAAATTGAGGTTTGTGTCTGTATCATCTGGAATGAACATTTACATTCTATGGAGAAAAGAAATGACATTTTCCGGATGCGAGCCCTCTGAGGCAGGTAACAAATAAGATATATTTGACAGAGGAAGAAAAGCTTTCTCACAAATCTGGTGTTTTTCTAGCCCCAAATGGCTGCAGTCTGCCTCTAACACCCTCTTTCAGGCTGATGTTTGCTTCATGACCTGTTAGCATTGTCTAAACCATCCTTTCAAGTGGTGGCCCTGCTTTCTCCATTTGATCTCTTGCCCGCTTACCAGGTTTCAGGTAGGACTCACCTGCTCCTTCTGGGATTGCCATCGCAGCACTACTCGTAGCAAGGCACTACTTTTCACACTGCCAAGTCATTCAGGAAGCACTGCTTTTGGAGAATGCAGCATAGGGGATGACATGGAACAGTATTAGTGCCACGCTTCTGATGTTTACTGCTGCTACTGCTGTTAAAGTGTTTTTACTGAAGAGCAGAGCTCATGTATCATGCTTAGCTTAAAAGAAAGCTGTAAAAATGTACCAGTGAAAGACACCAGGATGAGACCCTCATTCAACGCTCCTATTCACTTACTCCCTTGCACTTTCTTAAAGTATTGCATCCAGTTTCTGGCAAATGCAGCAGTCCATGGAGTATGGTGCCTCCAGAAACCACCCAAAACAGCAAATATTGTGCACAGGCTCCTGCTGGAGGAAGCGAGCAGTGTGAACCCTGACACACAACAGGGCAAATACTTCACCAAGAGCAATTTCCAAACCAGAAAGATGAACCATGGAATGGTTTGGGTTGAAGGGACCTTCAAGCTCACCCAGTCCCAACCCCTGCCACAGGCAGGGACCCCTTCCACTGGAGCAGCTTGCTCCAAGCCCCTGTGTCCAACCTGGCCTTGAACACTGCCAGGGATGGGGCAGCCACAGCTTCTCTGGGCACCCTGTCCCAGCGCCTCAGCACCCTCACAGGGAAGAGCTTCTGCCTAAGAGCTCAGCTCAGTCTCCCCTCTGGCAGGTTCAAGCCATTCCCCTTGGCCTGTCCCTACAGGCCCTTGTCCCCAGCCCCTCTCCAGGTTTCCTGCAGCCCCTTTAGGCACTGGAGCTGCTCTAAGGTCTCCCCTTCAGAAGCCTTCTCTTCTCCAGGCTGCCCCAGCCCAGCTCTCTCAGTCTTGTGCAGTCAGTTCTGACACACAAAAGGTTTTACTAATTTCCAGTCGATGCAGGTGAATGACGCCAATCATGTTAGATGTGACAAGGCAAAGAAACCTTGCACTTCACCTAAAAATGGCAGCTATAATGTATGTAAAGAATGCCTAAGCACAGAAAGCTCTGATTCTCTCACCTGAATATCTTATTTGCAGTGCTGAAAGGGTAACTGAACTCACCTAAGAGATCCTGACTGGGTTTTGGAACAAGCCACACAAAAGTAGATTTTTTTTTACTCACAATTAACATGGGCATCAATGAGCCCAGTACTGGATCTGCTGCACCACAGGAGCTGACCTGGGCCCACCTTTCTGGCTGTGGATCTGTTAAAGCACCACTGGAAAGTCACCACACCTATACTAATGCTGACTGAGAGAAGAGAGATCCAGTAACCCAGAAGCCTACAGGGGAAGGAAGCAGGATCTGTAGTGCTCAGAAGCAGCCTGCAAAAACCTGCACAATGGGCCTGAAGAGTGGGATGAGCAACAGAAGCCAGTCCCTACCTTTAGGGAAAGGAACACGGGAATGCCAACGCAGCCATCAGCATGGACAAAATCCCCCTTCCGGGCACTTCCTGCACCTGGGGAGGGTGGGTGACACTGCAGCAGCACGTGAGCAAACCACAGCCTGGAAGACAAATAGACATTAACTCATTAGAACTTGTACACCAAGTTGTGCAGTGCTGGGAACTCAGTTAAACCCCCCTAAGAGGTACAATCAGACTCTTGCAATTGGGCAGTGAGTAAAACTGCTCTAAGTTGCAGTGGGGATCTTCTCTCTGAGCAAAGGAATCCACTGTTAAGTGTTTGGGGACACAACAGACAGCAAAATGGTCTGAAATATTAGCAGCATAGCTGCTGGTGTTGAAAAGCCTTGTTCACAGGAGAACACCTTCACCAGGGTACCTGAACAGGAGAATGAGGATTTAACAACACGGGGAAGCCTGCACAGGGTGCTACACAAACCAGAATGGAGCTCACACATCCGAAAGCTCACCTCCTGATGGAATTTCTGCATGGAGTATGGCAGGCACAGAGGAACGGGTGAAAAGGCTCCGAGCTCTGGGAAAGATAAGAGGAACTGCAGAACTGAGAGCACGTGGACATCCATGGGTCACCAGAGAGAGGGGAAAAATGCGGCCCTTTGTGATCAGAGTCAAGCACAAATAAATACGTAGGGAAAGAACATTTTCTGTTTCCTGCAAAGAGTAAAGTTTGGGGGGAAGTGGCCTCTGCCAAACAGTTCTCTCTGCTGGAGGCATCAGCAGGGCTCCGACAGGCACGGCAGGAAAACAGACCATACGTTTGTGCGTTTTCAACAGCCCCTATGGGAGACATCATTTTCTCAGGCTGCCGTTTGGGTTGTGTTTGGCACTTGAACTGTTTCATGGCCTTTGATAGCCCAGGATCTGTGTAGATGATGTTTTGTTCTGAGGGAAGAGAGCAGAAGCACATGACCAGAAGCTCTCATCAGCTTTGGAAAGACCCAGACCAGCAGAGCTCCAGCAACAAAACTCTTTTGTAATGGAAATGCCATCATACCTAGGCATGAAATTAGAAAAGCGCTGTGTACAAGCAGATTAGAATAAGACTGAAGTCATCCCCAGCATTCCTGCCCCAGCAGAAAAGGATGCAAAGTCAAGATACCATTGACTAGTGAACTGTCTACCCAATTCAGCTGCCCAAGCACAGATCTTTACGTGCAAGAGTAGACCTGACATATAGATCTTCATGGGGAAACTGAAAGGAGCTTATTAATAGCCCCAGATAAACAGAATTAAGGGCCAAACTGAACATAGACTTTTACAGACCAGTGCTGAGTGAGCTGATTTCTCTGCATGCACTCTCACTACTGCTTACGACCCTAGTCAGGCATGAAGATTAATGCCTACACAGAAAGCATTTGCTTTCCACTTTTTGAAAGCACTTGTAGGCTGGTTTTGTCTGGTTTCAATTAGAGGTAGTATTAGTCTTTACTTCCAGTCTTAGCTGGGTGTAGTCTTGCTCTCCCTGTCCCGTTCCAGAGGAGCCTGAAGTGGCACCTTGCCATCCTCACTGCTATGATGGTTAGGAAGTGAGTTCCATAATAAGACTCCCATTTACACCCCAAATTGACCAGCTCTATTCATGTCAGCGGGGTTGCCATATTTGCAGGGCAGTTTGAAACCCTCTGGTGCTCCAGACTCCAGAGGGGCAATGACAGTTGCTCAGAGTGAACTCACAGATCACTGGGTATGGGGAGATGAGGGAAAGTGATGCAAGTTCCCTTTATTCCCGGGAACAGCAGCGTAAGTGGCCTCACAGGAGCATCAGGAGGAGTTTCAAAGCTACCCTTGAACGTGGGGTGCTTCCTGGGGCATCACAAATGCCAAAGAAACTGTCTTTAACAGTGTTGCTAAATACAACTGCTGCGTGTGCCATGGGGACACCAAAGGGTAGAGCCTCTGCCATGAAGCAAACGCTCAGTAAGCACAATACACTGAACAGCCCATCAACTGCACCAGGCAGGCTGGTGTGTAATGAGTCTCTGAAGATGTGTATGCTGAGACAACACACAGAGGGCAAGCATCTTCCTCTTTGACTCCACACACTTTCTTATTTAGGCTTCTGTAGTCAGCGATTCATTATACAGTAATAGGGAAAAGCTGGCCCCCCATGGAGAAATATTGCTGCAGAGCCCAAGTGGATCATGTATCTTTTCCATCAAGGCCTACAGAATAGTCGGAAGGGTGTCCCAGCCATTGGTATATTCCCATTGAAGCCAAGGGCAATGTTCTAGGAATCATCTGACCTTTTCTAGGCAAGGTAAAAAGATGTGATTTTACTTTGAGGCCTGAGCTGCGCACGGTGGTTTGCAGTCATGCACAGGGTATCTATCTACCAGCACAGCTGGGCAGGCCGGTGGAACAGCTACTGCCCTCCTCCAGCACACCAGCTCATGCTGATCCAAGTATTTTAGGGAGAAGCACCAGCCAGTCTGTCAGGAGCTCAGCAGGAAAGGTCTCCATGGGAAGACATCCCCCCAGGTGCCTGCGGGAAGGCCCAGGAAGAAGTTAAAACACTGCAAGTTAGGACTCTGCCATGCACAGGAGCTCCTGCAGCAGGGAAAGCCAAGAGCAGGTTTTTCAGGACTCCTTTTTGGACTATGGAGCCTAAAATTTGTGCACATTTCTCTTCAGATGTCTCCTTGGATCTAGCCTTAGATCTCCCTTTATTCCAGTGGAGAACAACCATACTCCCAGGGGGTTTCACAGTGCCACTAAAACTCAGTAATCCCTCTTCTAGACCTAGGGGTGGAAAGTACTGCACAAAAAAGGCTTCTGCCTTAGAAACAAAATGAAGGTAAATGAGGACATCAAATAACAGAGCCAGCACGAAGGCAGTGAAGGGGTTCAGAGGAATGTAATAAGCTTGAGAAAGGTAAACCTTGGGATCGAGGGCTGCAGCTGATCTCGGGCCCCTCAGCACAGCAGACACGGCTGCCTCGGTGCTGCACAGCTCCATGTGCTGCTCCTCATCGAGGTCTCCTGTTGGCTTCAGTTTCGCCATGGAAGCTGAAGAGCATTAAACTGTTCCAGAGGACAAGTCCTCCCCTCAATAAATAAAACCATTTCTAGCAGAGGCTGCTCTGTGAGTTATTGCAGAGCACATAACAGTCCCTATATTTGCCTGCACAATCCCTGCGCGCCCCAGATCTAACTCATTACTGTGCTTAGCGAAGCGCTTTGAACTGCCTCGAGCATGAAAAGCACCATACAAGAACAAATTTTATTCTCCTATAAAGGTATTAAGGCAAGTTAGAGGCATTATTGACGCACATGATATGTTATAATTGCTAAACGTTCACAAAGGCAACATCCAGCCTTTGTGCACGGAGCTGGAGGGTACCTGTGTGCATAGTGCCTGAGTGCTTCCTCTGCACTGCCCAACAGCGCCCCTGGCTCCCACAGGCAAGCTGGATCCTTGAGCTGCAGCTTCCTAAACTCAGCCCTTTGGCTTGGGAGAGGAAGCAGGGCTCTGCTTGACCTGGTTTTAAAGGGAGACACAAGCTCCTAACATTAACTGCTGGTTAGTATCTGGCTTCCCAGCTGCACCTCAGTCTTTCCTTACGCCTCATTCCCACCCAATTATTCCTGTCACCATCACAACACAACCCAACACCCCCAGGGACCACAACTGCATCCCTGCACCTCAACTGAAACATGTGCCACCCTCTTCACAGCCCAGCTCAGCTGTGACCTGCAGCACCCTCTGTTGTTCCCTTCCTGGAGTTCACCCAGCTTGTCCTCCCTACCAGGACTATTCCTTTCCTATTCCATTTACTGTCTTCCACAACAGGGCACCAGCATCATGCTCTCCTTATTCCCTGCTCACCAGTCTTGCCAAGTGTGTTTATTTCCACAACATAATCTATGAAATGGAGGGATGCTGCAGGCGCAGAGCTGAGATAGCTGAAGCCCTTCTTAACAGGAAGAGGTAGAACTCAAACAGCTTAGAGCGATGACCCAGAACTCCTGGAAAAGAAATAGTATTTGGAAGTGTCAACTCATTCATCTATATGGAAGATGTAGAGTTGTGCTTAAGGATGCTGTCAAAGGAACCAGGAATGTTCTTGGGGTTGGAGGGTAACGGGCAGAACAGTTTTTGCAGGCCCCCACAAAAATGTTGGGCTGTCCCAAGCCAATGTCATGTCCCAGAAGAGTCAGCACTTTCACTGCTGTAATTACCAGCAACCAAGATAAACACATTGAATATTAATGGGAATATTGAGAAATAACAAAACCTAACTCAGAAACCACAATGGTATGTGCCCACAGGCGCACGTGCATGCCTGTGTGTGCAGTCTGCCCACTGGACTCATGAGATCATCCAAGATCCTGGCTCACAAGTTACATTCAACCCTTGAAACTTGCCACTGTCTTGAATTCCTTCTGTAAAAATGAAGGCTCGTGGCCCATTTGAAAGCTCTAACAGCTTATTTCGGGCTAGAAAACACACCACTTTTCAGGAGGTTTGAGCTCAGTTTCTCTCTGGACTAACAGGTATCTGGAAAGGTACAAAAATCACACTATCATTCTGGACAGAAAACTGTCCCCCCATGACATGCTCAGTGCCCATAAACTTGCCTTCAAGACTCACGGTGCATCATGCAGCCCTGAGTCTTAAAGACAAGAGCAAGTGATGGAAAGAGTGAGCAGAAACCTCTGCAAACCTGAACTGCTCAAAGCTTCCCATATACTCCAGCATGTGCAGTACCTGTGGTTGGGCACACAGGAAATGATGCTCCAGAGCCTTCTCTTCAAGTGTGCACTGAAAGGGATTTTACATTTCTCAGTCTGGTTCCATTTCCTTGGCTGCCCTCCACCCTGCCCACAGAGTGCTGCTGGGACAGGAGGAATCTCTTATTTCCATGCCAAAGACTGGGAGTTTTCTTCCTCCACACAATGATGAGCTCCTCAACTGAAGTTTAACCCAACAGGTCCCTGCTGTGTGTCCAGCGGCTGGGTCACCACTGCTTTAGCTGAGCATGAATCCAGTGGAGAGAGCTTGGTGCTAGTAAGTAGGAAGAGATGTGGCCTGGTTACGTGCTCACACTGCTTCATTTTTAGATGTTTCCTGATGGGAGAAATTGAGAACCAAAGATGTTCCACCAGAGCGACTCATCCCATTACTGGAACACTTTGAAAATGTGATATGGATCAGTCTAACATCCCGAGCTTCTCCCAGAACAGAGCATGAGTGTACAGACACTGAGCTTTTGGGAAGCATCAGGAACCAGACAGATTAGCTTTGTGGCTTTTGTTAGTTGGTTCTGACTTGCTTTTGACTACGCGCCTGCTCACCATTAACACCCCATGGCGCAGTTGTGTTTGACATCTCTATAACTAACCCTGATTTATATGGCCTTGCACAATTCCTCCTCCTTTGTGTGGCCTTGAGAACAGCATAACAGGCATGCTAAAATGGGAACCATTTAAACCAGTCACTACTAAAGGAGTCTACCTTCAAAGAGCGTTATCCTTGTGAATCAAACTTCACCCTTCCTGAATAATCAGGGTTTTTAATGAAATGCAGCTTTTGGGGTTTGGCAGAAGCAAATACTTATTCCAGAGAGCAGACTCAAAGGTGAAAGCATGACAGATCCACAGAGCTGCAGAATAAAAGAGAGAAAAGATCCAGAGAAATCTCAGATGTGCCACATTCATCACTCAATCATTCAATTACAAGTATCTGAGCAGCTCTTTGGTGAAAGGAATTCAAGCTCCCTATTACAGCACATCGCTGAACATCTCTGATGCCTTTCCACATGGCAATGCAGCAGATGAGCTGTGCCCCTTTCCACACCCATTGCCCATAGAAAATCTGCAAACCATCATCACTGATGCTCCCCAATTTAGGATCCATGTCATAACACACCCTGCCTCCAAAGCCTGTCCATACTTACTGCACTGCTTGCTTTAGGAACGTGTTTTTCTTTGGTGCAACATGAACACTTATGATTATGTGCTGCATGTGCCAAGTAGGCAGGGCTGGGTGGGGAGCGTGAAGGGAGGCTCCAGCTCAGAAATGACAGTACCTATTTTTGGCTCCCGAAGCCGCTCTGTGCTGCTCCCGTTCCGTTCTGACAGCCTGACGCGTTGCATTCTAGCTGTCCCCAATCCCGAGCAGCTGTGGCAGTTTGGGGTGCTGGGTTCAGCATCCTGGGGAGGAGAAAGCAAGCAGCAATTTCTCTATGCCTGTGCAGGAAGAAGCTGCATCACGGTTAACTGTTACTCCATTACCAACACGTAGATGAGCTTACTTTTCAGCCTGAATGCCCCATTACTGCCCAGGAGAAGGTACCTGGCTCCTCCTTTTCTGACAGCTCTCCACCAGAATGCCCCATGACGTCCCCTTCTCCGAAACACCCGCCTCTTGGGTGACCATGGTGGTTACACACACACTGCAGGATGAAATGCCCTGCTTGCTGCCTGGGACACATGGAATATGATCTAACTGGGGTAAATTCACATCCCAGGTCTGTTCTATGCAATTACAGTGTTTACTGGGGGTTGCACTGTATTTTCACAGCACCCCAAGGGCTGCAGCCTCCACTCCCCTTACAGTCCTGCCCCACAAGCACTTTACCACACACCTGCTTTGCAGTAAGAGCTCTCCATGTGCTTTGAGCCTGCAATCAGTGTGAGACAGGGGTAGCTCAGCCCTCCCTCTGCAGCCCCACAGTGACAACTGATTCACATAGCAGAACCCTCAGAAGACAGCACAGGGGTGAGTCACTGCTCACACCCCCGGCTGCAGGTACCCCCAGGGGGTGTCCAGGCTTCCCCTCCTCATGGCTTTGCAGGGAGGCAGCACAGGGCAGCCCTGGGGCAGAGACAGCCACATCCTCTCATGCACTGAACCTGGGCACCTCTCCTCACGGCTGAAGGGGCTCCCAACAGCCACCAGCAGCCTGCCCCTGCCTGGCACCATCCACTTGGTCCTGCTCATACAAGTGCTGGAGTGCTGAGACAAATCCAAGCAGGAAGCTTCTGGTGGATGGCCCCTGAGGTATGTGCATGGGCAGGGGAGATGGGGGACAGGGTGCAGCAGAGCAGCTTACCTTGGTACTGCTGCCAGGAGCAGCTGCTGCAGAACGGATCCTAACTTGGGCAGCTCCAATGCGCAGCTGGAACCACACCAGCACTTTCTGGGAGTGTAGGGAGCCGAAACACAGCCTTGTAGGTGTCCTGCTCACCTACCCAGGAACAGCTTTTCTTCCTTCAGCTGCTTTCCTTCATTCCATTCTCCACCAGTACCCTGCTATCAAGTAATTAGAAACACATACACAGCAGTTTCTTGAAACACCAGAACATTTATCTTTAGCACTGTTAACAGTGAAAGCGAATGACACCGTGGAGACACTGTTAAAAGAAAGGGTTACTATCTTTAAAGAAGAGAGTTACATTCTCCACCAAGGAACAAACCAATTTGAACAATCACATTTTGCAGCCATGTAACTCTTTACCTTCCCCTCTCCCAAGCATCTGAAGCACATGAATGGATGTCTGAATCCTTTACACGAGAACAGCTTAAACCAGCTCTCAGGGAGAGCACGAGGCCTCGTGCTGAGCTGAATGAGTCCAAAGCTGCAAGAGCAGCCCCTGATCTGGGACAGGGTGGCAGAGCTCACCTCCACCCAGGACCAGCCCCATCCTCAGGTACTGCCAACCATAGGACTGTGAGCGCAAAGGTTGGCTGGAGGAGCACAGCACCTTTTCCTTTAATCCCAGTGGAGTTTGGGATCCACAGGGAAGAGAATCCTGGAAGCGGAGTGTGTTTGCATGATCAGTGACTAGAGTGGTACAAAATGTCTGCACTACGTCTTTCCATTCCAGCCTGTGCCTTTGAAGTCATGGTAACAGCTTTTGGATTCGAATCCTCTGATGAGGCTCCTTGATTTATTAGGTAAAACATCTGGAAAAAATGAAGCCTTGTGGCAGTGTAAATCCTCCAGAAGGAGCAGAGGGAGGCTCCATCCCAGCACTGCCTCTGTCAAAAGCACGGAAACCAGAGCCCCACCACTTGCTTTGGGCTGCTCCGAGCTTGAAAAGCTCCAGGTTGGGCTGGGCCTGTTCGTGTTTCACCCACTGGCCCAGAAACCAGCACCCAGACCTGGCCGAGGCTGCGAGCAGAGAGAGGGACACCAGCTACAGCCCTGGGTGCTGGGAGCACGGCACAGCTAATGGAACGATCCTCAGAGGCTCTTGCAGCTGGAATGTTGGTAGCAATTCTGCCCTTGACATTAATAATGCAGCTCTGGTTATAAATCACTGCAGTCCGGGGGAGCAGGATGACATGTAAAATACCTGGCGCTCTCCCGCAAAGGGAAAGGCAACAGCGCAATAGAGACAGGCCAGAAACACAGAGCTCAGGTCAGCCCCGTGTGCTGCTGTGATTAGCAGGGGTCTCCGGGTGACTTTCCCGTTCCCCCAGTACAACACTGGATGTGAGTAAAGGAATGTTGGAAACGAGCCCTCTGGATAGCGCTGGTTTGGAAGGAACAAAACCTGCACAGGCAGACGGGCATTTTCTGAAGCAGATTTCTTGTTGTATTTGGAATCAGCCCTGAAGTGAGGTAAAACAAAAGAGAGGGGAGAAGGGAAGAGCAGAACAGCTTGCTGTGCTCCGGAGCTCCTGCGAATGGCTTCCCCTGTGAAACGTGTGTGTGGGGACACGTGTGCGAGCGTGTGTGTGAGCATCTGCGCCTAGCTGTGTAAGGCGTTGGTTAGATGAGGGCAAAGCTGGCAATCACAGTGGTCCTTGACTCACAATTATTTACTCTCTGCCTCCTCCATCCAGCAACCCAGGATCCAAATTTCAGAGCTCACGCTCTGGGAAAGTCCCCCGAGAGCCATCTTTTGACAGTTATTTTCCCATCTCAATCCCCCTTCCAGCAATCTGAATAATGCAGCTCAAACGCTAGCCCCAGTGCCAGTGTGCCTGCAGGAGGGGGCACGGGACCAGCAGAGGGGGGGGAGGTTGGGGAGTATTTTTTTAATCAGATAAATTATTGCTGGGAAAGCAGCCACTTCTCTCTATTCAATTTATACTCTATGGGGAATCCATCTAATACCCCTTCTCTTGGTGTGAAGCAGGACCAGCGAGACGCTGTATCAAACCAGGGAGGAATGCAAAAGATGAGATGGAGTGCAGGGAATGAACAGGCAACGGGAGGAAGGGGCTGTGCAAAAGCCCCTGGACAAGAAGAAAAGCCAAGGAGACGCGCACACATCTCCTCAGAGGAGGGAGGAAAATGTCTCTGCCCGTTTCTCCCCTGGCAAACTGGAGCAGGCTGAGGCCAGGGTGGGTTAGGAGTGGGGCGGGCTGGCTCTGAGCTTCAGGGCTGAGTGAGGAGCTCCGAACCCGCAGGGAGGTGGCGCAGGTCCCGGGCTGCAGGGATGGAGGCTCCTATCCGGGGCTGCAGGGATGGAGGCTCCTATCCGGGGCTGCAGGGATGGAGGCTCCTATCCGGGGCTGCAGGGATGGAGGTTCCTGTCCGGGGCTGCAGGGATGGAGGCTCCTATTCGAAGCTGCCGGGATGGAGGTTCCTATCCGGGGCTGCAGGGATGGAGGTTCCTATCCGGGGCTGCAGGGATGGAGGCTCCTATCCGGGACTGCAGGGATGGAGGTTCCTATCCGGGGCTGCAGGGATGGAGGCTCCTATCCGGGACTGCAGGGATGGAGGTTCCTATCCGGGGCTGCAGGGATGGAGGCTCCTATCCGGGACTGCAGGGATGGAGGTTCCTATCCGGGGCTGCAGGGATGGAGGTTCCTATCCGGGGCTGCAGGGATGGAGGCTCCTATCCAGGGCTGCAGGGATGGAGGTTCCTATCCGGGGCTGCAGGGATGGAGGCTCCTATCCGGGACTGCAGGGATGGAGGTTCCTATCCGGGGCTGCAGGGATGGAGGCTCCTATCCGGGACTGCAGGGATGGAGGTTCCTATCCGGGACTGCAGGGATGGAGGTTCCTATTCGAGGCTGCAGGGATGGAGGTTCCTATCCAGGGCTGCAGGGATGGAGGCTCCTATCCGGGGCTGCAGGGATGGAGGCTCCTATCCGGGACTGCAGGGATGGAGGCTCCTATCCGGGGCTGCAGGGATGGAGGCTCCTATCCGGGACTGCAGGGATGGAGGCTCCTATCCGGGACTGCAGGGATGGAGGTTCCTCTGCAGGGCTGCAGGGATGGAGGCTCCTATTCGAGGCTGCAGGGATGGAGGTTCCTATCCGGGGCTGCAGGGATGGAGGCTCCTATCCGGGGCTGCAGGGATGGAGGCTCCTATCCGGGGCTGCAGGGATGGAGGTTCCTATCCGGGGCTGCAGGGATGGAGGTTCCTATGGGGGCTGCAGGGATGGAGGTTCCTATCCAGGGCTGCAGGGATGGAGGTTCCTATGGGGGCTGCAGGGATGGAGGCTCCTATCAGGCTCTGCTGGAGTTTGCATAATGAGTTCAGGGATTTCACACCAGCTCCCAGTGGAACTGGGAATGTGCCAGTTCACCTCTGCAGCGTAACTGGAACTGTGTAATGCATTGCTGGCCGGCTGGGAGAAGCCAAGGACTGGGAACAGAGGCAGCTTCCAGCACACCGGGTTTCAGACATGCTTGCAGAGCAGCACATCTGTGCAGCCTGCCTTGTTGTCTGGGCATACCTTTTATTCCTGTCTGGATGACACGAACACCTTAAGGCTCCAACCAAGACAAGGCTCCATTGTGCTGAGGCGCTGTATGCACATGCAGTGAGAGACGGGCCGTGTCCTGAAGAGCACCGAGCCCAACCAGGAGGCAATTAGAGGTGGGGAGTGGAAGCAGGTGCACAGAGAAGGGAAATGATTTCCCGGAGCTCCCCGGGTGAGTCAGTGTCCAACCCAAAACCAGAGCCACAGCACTTGCTTCTCTTCAGGTGCCAACACCAGTTCAGTCCATGGGCTTCCTGCTCCAGCAGTTCTCAGCGAATACAAATCATAGAATCACAGAATCCCAGCCTGGTTTGGGTTCAAGGGACCTTAAAGCTCATCCAGCTCCAACCCCTGCCACAGGCAGGGACCCCTTCCACTGGAGCAGCTTGCTCCAAGCCCCTGTGTCCAACCTGGCCTTGAGCACTGCCAGGGATGGGGCAGCCACAGCTTCTCTGGGCACCCTGTGCCAGCGCCTCAGCACCCTCACAGGGAAGAGCTTCTGCCTTATCTCCAACCTGAACTTGCCCTGTTTCAGTATGAACCCATCACTCCTTGTCCTACCACTGCAGTCCCTGATGCAGAGTCCCTTTCTGGCAGCCAAATGCATAGAGTGTTTAAAGAATTACAGGGTAAGAGCACCTCAGTGGGTGTCATGGCACACTTCTGTGGCCTTTTCTTCTTCTCTATAACAAAGAATCAAAAGTGTTAGTGGGAGCATTGGCAGCAAGCTCAGGAGACAAGGAGACTTCTGAGGAAGATTTCCCAGATTCCAGGAGTGGCTGCAGTACAAATAATGGTGGAAAATAAAGGCCCTGACTCAGCAGGAGGCAAAGGGGAACAAGTGGAAGAGTCACTCTATGCTGGGAGGCTGGAAGGAGAATATGACACACAAAGAAGAAAAGAGAAATAAGGCAAAAGGAATTCATTCAGATGTGTATAGTCTGCATTTTGGATAGCTTCCCTCTGACAGAAACTGCTGAGCGCCCATTCCCAGGCAATCAGGCTTTACCCAGAGTCCAGTTCTGTGGGGCCCAAACCAAACAGGCACAATTCCTTTCACTCAGAGCTCTTTTCCATCTGCTGCAACAGGCGATGGGATTTCACCAGCCCCCCTGATTCGCTGTCTCCAGGTCCGTGTGAGGGTGTCATTCCTCATACCGCAGCTCCCTTTCCCAGGCGCAATGAATGCTTAAAGCAACACTGAGCTAAACACTTCATTAAAGCCCCCTCTGGCCCCCCGAGCAGCCGACCTGCTGTCAGACCTCGATTAACCTCCGAGGGTATTACCTGCAATTACAGATCTCCCTAAAATGCCAGAACAACTCGTGCCAGAGCAAAGTGAGCCCCCGGTCCTGCTGGTGTCAGGTTCCGGGACACCTTACCCTGCAGTGGTTCTTGTCCAGCTGAGGCATCCCCAGGAAAAGAACTTTGGGGCTTTTTTTCCCTTTCTGAGAACAAAGAAAGTGTTATCCCTTCTTCCTTGGCATTCCTTCCTGTGTTTTCAGTCCCTGGACATAGGTACTTGAGGGTGCTGAGGCGCTGGAATGGGTTGCTCAGGGAGGTTGTGAATGCTCCATCCCTGGCAGTGTTCAAGGCCAGGTTGGACAGAGCCTTGGGTGCCATGGTTTAGTGTGAGGTGTCCCTGCCCATGGCAGGGGGTTGGAACTGGATAATCTTAAGGTCCTTTCCAACCCTAACTATTCTGTGATTCTATGATTAAAGCACTGCCCATTTCAGAGGCTTTATCCAGGACTCTGGTAAAAGGTAAATTCAAGCTGTTCTGTGCATTTTCTTGTCCCTAAATGTCTTTTTTTCTTTTAATCTGTTCCAGATTCCCCCAGTTTTACAGTAGGACTCAGGGGCTCAGTGATCTCCCCCCTCCCAAGCCCCAAGAACAGCAGAAACACAAACTCTTCAACCCTAGACCAAGCACAAACCTCTCTGAAATCCCAGTGTGGAACCATCTTTCCTAAGTCTCTCTCCTCCGTGACCCCTGCACTCCCCACAATCTGCAGCAGTTTTCCTGTCCAAGGAAAGAAAACACTGACATGAATCAGGACCTCTTCTTGACAGGCACAAGGAGGGAGGGCTGCTCTTTGCCAGCAGGTACACATTAAATTGATGTTGAAGCCTCTCCAATGTGTCTGGAGACTCACTGGCCTGTGGGAGTTTTGGCCTGCTCCATCCTTCCACATTGGTTATCATCTTTCATTTCTTTTACACCTGGTAACATGTGGCTTCGAGAAATCTCTCTGGGCTCAATGAATGATGGAAGTGAACCTCCTTACTCTGGTTCCTTTCTTTCCCTGCCCCTCTTTATTCATTTCCTGGCTCTAAGGCTGAGCAACCAAATCCCCCTGGAATCTCTGGGAAGCAAAGGGTGGCTGGAAATGGCAGGAAAAAGGGTCCTGGCCAAGAGTGAAAGAAAAATAAGGAGCCCCAACCCTCTACTAGGGGAAGACACCTGCCTGCCTGCTTCAGGCTTAGGCTGCATTACACACAGGGAAAGGAAAGGGCAAGAAAACATGGACTTTACGTAGTCAGGGATCTGTGTCCCTGCAGGAAACAGTTCATGTGCTGCCTCCTGGGGACAGCCAGATGTACTCAGAGGTTTGCCAGTGCCTGGTCTGAAGGCCCTGATGGTCCATGGCAGCACCAGGCTTTTCTGCCCATCTCCCTTGTGACTGTCCCCATGGTGCACCTGCAGGAGAGGACGTGGCAGGATGGACAGACAGGGTCCCTGCACGTCCCACTCGACGCTGATGCACCTTGGAGCCCCTTCCATCACTGCACTCATGGAACACTGCAACAACAAGTGCATCCCTGAGAAACCAAAGTTCCTAAGCTGGGTTATTAGGGAATTAGATCCCACAGATCATCTTCTCCCCCTGCCATTCCCTGCAGTATTCCTGCTCAATTCCAAGTCCTGCATGTGCTTGGCTGGACAAAGAGCAGTGCATGCTCCTTTGGGGCTGCCTGGCCAGCTGGCTGCTGCTGCTACCCCAAATGGATGTGTGCTGGAGGTTCCTTCCATCAGTGGGCACTCCTTTGGGTTCCTTTTTCCTCTGTCCAGCTGCAAACCTTCAGGTAACTGTGGGAATTCTGTTCTCAATGAAGCTACTCATTGACTGGCAGTCTGAGAAGTAATTCACGGGGAGGGAAGAATGGCAGATAAACAGCAGGACGCCTCTTCAGAAACCAAGACTAAAATGCTAGAGCAAAAGGGCTGCTGAAGTCTTGTTTTCCTTACCCACAAATTCCCTGATGCAGAAAACATACCCCCCCTTTCCCATATTTGCCAATTTGCTACAAGTTCAAACACGAACAGCTTCTGCTGGGAATAGCTGATTGTGCCAGGATGTGATAGCTGCTGTTCCTGTGCTGTCCTACCCCCCAGATCATCCCATTTCAGCCCAGAAAATGAAAGTTGCTCACTGTTTACTAACCACTCTGCTCCCTTCCACTCTGCAAGGAGCTCTGTGGCAGAGCCAAGCCTCTGCTGTTTACAAGCCCATCTGCTTCAGTTGCTTTTCTTCACCTGAAGTTAGAACGCTCCATTCAGGAGACTGCTCATGGTTGTGTTGGGAACTGCAAAAAGCAGATGAGGATTTCAGGTGAGCAGCAGGAAAAGAAGAACACAAATCTGTTCTCATCTAAAGAGCCCTAAAAGCAATGATTTAAGAATAAAGAGAACAAGACAAAGGAGGAAACGCCAAAAAGCCAGCAATGGTTTCAGCAGCACAGTCATTCTAAGGGGAGTTTCTCTTGTATTTTCATGAGAATTCCAACATTTAGAACCAGAAGGGAAAAAGCACAAGTGCTCCAATGCCTGTTTCCCTGAAGTCACACTGATTCCTCTGCTCTCAGCATTTTAAAGTCTCTCTAGGCAGAGCTGCAAGATTGTACTTTGCCCAAACCTGTACTGCTGCTGTAAGCTGTTCAGTCGTGAGCTCTGTGTAGTTTAACTCAATGCCACAGGTTTCCAGGAGTAACAGGGGGACCCTTGGGAGCCAGAAAGAGATTGAGAGTGTCTGTCTGTCCCTAAAGCCTTCAGGGGGATGTCCAGAGACTACCCCTTAACACCAGAGCTGCTGTCCTTACAGCCTGAGCCCGCAAGCGTGGCTGCAGGAGGGACCAGAGGTACACTGCGAGCCAGCTAAAGCACCCATGCAACGTGCCTGGGCAGGCTGCTGCAGACATGCACAGCCTCTGCAGGAGGCAGCTGCAGGGATGGGAGGCAGCCAGGCTGAGGAGCACGCTGTGCTCACAGACACTGCTGTGGATGGAGTGATACCTGTGAGAGGCACTGCTCCGTGGGGCCACAGCCGCTGCAGAGAGGCTGCACTCCTACATGTGGGCCCTGAGGCGATGGGGATGGGCAGACTGCGACAACCACTCCTTCCTCCCAGCCATGGGCTTCCAGCCCCGGTGCTGCTGCCTGGCTTGGAAGGGAAAATAAATTGCTGCTGTTCCTGGACACTTCTGAGAGACAGTGGAAATGAGAGGAGCCCAAAGAAAGGAACTGAACTGCCCCCAACCAGAAAACAGAGGTGGCAAAAGTATCTTTGCTCCAGCCCTTTCTGTGCTTCACACCTAGAGTTGTTAACGCGGGCCAAGAACCACCTAAAGAAAGAAGCAGCACTTGGAATGGTCTCTGTGCCATGGCATTAGCTTTAGGAGGGTCAGCCTGTCCACAGAGACACATGACATCCATGTGGCAGAGCAGATGTGTGGCTTTACAGATCAAACACTGAAGTTCACACCTCATGTATGGACGAAAGCTGAGAAGGAGCAGTAAGTACTGGAAGGTGGAAAGAATCAGACACTGGTTTGTGTTGGAAGGGACCTCAAAGCTCATCCAGTCCAACCCCTGCCATGGGCAGGGACCCTTTCCACTGGAGCAGCTTGCTCCAAGCCCCTGTGTCCAACCTGGCCTTGAACACTGCCAGGGATGGGGCAGCCACAGCTTCTCTGGGCACCCTGTGCCAGCGCCTCAGCACCCTCACAGGGAAGAGCTTCTGCCTAAGAGCTCAGCTCAGTCTCCCCTCGGGCAGGTTCAAGCCATTCCCCTTGGCCTGTCCCTACAGGCCCTTGTCCCAAGCCCCTCTCCAGGTTTCCTGCAGCCCCTTTAGGCACTGGAGCTGCTCTAAGGTCTCCCCTTCAGGAGCCTTCTCTTCTCCAGGCTGCCCCAGCCCAGCTCTCTCAGCCTGGCTCCAGAGCAGAGCTGCTCCAGTGCATCTCAGCACCTCAGTGGCCTCCTCTGGACTTGCTCCAACAGCTCCACGTCCCTCTTGTGTTGGAAGCTTCAGTGCAAGGTCTCACAAAGGAACAGCCCTACTACAGGTTCCCAACTGTCCCTCTGTGCCATCAGATCACAGTGTATCTGCTGCACCAGCTCACAGCTGGAAATTCACCTGGTTTAGGGAGGAACACAGTGTCCCACTTGGCAGCTTCCCAGCCCGGCCCTACCAGCTCAGCACAACTTGCATGGATCACGTCCCAAGTCTTGAGGCTATTGAGAAAGGAGGCTGCTTCAAGCTCCTGGGAAGGAAGGAGCTTGCCAAGGCAGGCACTTGGACGTGCAACCTGTGGAGAACATTTCCTTCTCCCCGCAGCACTCAAAGGTGTGTGGGTTTGGACTGCTTTTGTTTGAGGACTTCACAGCAACGGAGCCCAGTGCACAGCGAGATCTAAAGACCTCAGACCTGTTGAGTGGTACCAAATCTAATGCTGGTCCAGCTTCCCATGGCTGACACCCTGCACATTCCCAGGCTCCAGCAGAGCTCAGCTCTTTGGTGGGCACTAAAACAAACTGATTTACAAGGACACTCACACTGGTGCTAGCAAGGTGCTGGGATGTTCTGAAAACATCATGATATAGTGGGTGAGGGGAGAGAAACTGAAATTAGACTTTGCTGTCTCGTTAACTCCTGAGGAATCTCATCTTCCAGCCAAACTGCTCTTTGGAATAGCTATGTAGAACAGAAAACAATGCCTTTAGCAATGCTGCAGCTCTCAGGGCCTGAATCAGGACCTCTCAACCACACATGCTCTTCATTAATGCTAATCCAGGAGCAGCAATGATCCGAGAGCAAAACCTCCGCAAGGATTAAGTACACAGATACTGCCTCATCAAGCTGTGATGCAGGGAGGGATCCAACCTGAACTCCCTCCAAAACACACAGTCAGATCTGGTTGCTCTGGTTTGGACCCAACCCTGGCAAGATGGAAAGCGGGACCTTGAAAGAGAGGAGCAGAAAGAAGGGAAAACAGTCCCTTCCCTCTCCATCCCTCCCTAGGAAAGCAGCGCTCCTCTCCTGGGCTGGAAGCACGCACACTGAACTTGCCTCCCTTCCCTCCTCAGCTTACATTGTTCACTTTCCTCCAAATTGTTTCCACATTCTGTATAAATAACCCCAGTGCCAGCGAGGGGGAGGGGAGAAGGGCTGGGAGGAAACCAAACGTCTTTGTTACTTCTGAAAGAGAAGGTGGAGGATGCAGTTGGGAGCGGGAGCCTTGGCAGCCTGAGCGCAGAGTTGCCATCGTGCTTGTGTTCAGACCTGGAGGAAGAAGAGTAAACAAGGGGGAGATTATATGTAATTACAGACAATCATGTTGCCGGGGATAAACAGGAATCAAAAGCATGGAGGCACCGAAGGCTGGCACACCCCCAAGCACAGAAGAGAAGCCAGCCGGCGAGAAGCAATGCGGCTGGAAAGCGCTTCCCTTTGGGCTGCTTTCAGTTAGCTCAGGGGCTGGGGTTTTTTTCCCCTCTCTTCTTTGGCTTGAGGCATTCCCCCATCAAGAGAGGAGCCCATCCAATGGGAACCAGAAGCCAAACTGAAGTCAGCAGAATCCTCGCCTGCAATGTGAATAGATTACTCTGTGAGAAACGTCAGAAACACTTGGAAAAGGTGGAGCCCGCTGAGGTCAGCAAAACCAGCAACAGGAACTGTGGAACAGAAATAGCTTTAGGAACACGCCAGAAGCTGAGCCTGTGTGTCCTGCAGGCAGATTCCCCCTGGCAGGACACAGAGGGTGACCTGCAGCTGAGGGTGGCACATGGGTCCCGCTCACAGCTCCCGTGGATCCAGGGTTGTGATAAAAAGGTGTCAGGGCCCCCTGGCCACCTCACCTAGCTCTGGCGTGCGCGGTACCGAGCCTGTCCATTTGGCACAGCCCTCTTCTCGATCCCCTGCATATCCAAGGCAAAAGGATGAGCTGTCAGTCCTGTACACCACCTCCCTCCTGCCTGTCTGCATCTGCAGAGGGAATCAGGGGGAACCAGAGCGTGATGGGACCCTCCTTCCACCACCTGCCTGTGCACGAACGGGAGGCAGCGGAGGCCTTAAGCATGGTGGGACAGCAATTCCCTCCCCTGCCTTTGCTGGGGAGCAGTGGGGTGCTCAGCTTGTTGTGCCTGATGCCAGGACCCCGCTCCCCCAGCAGGGCAGCCCCAGCTTTGCTTTTGCAAGCAGAATGATAGAATGGTTTGGGTTGAAAAGCACCTTAAGCTCATCCAATTCCAGCCCCCTGCCATGGGAAAGGGAAGCAGAAAAAGGCAGCAGGGATGGCTCTGGCCATAGCCAGACGAGCAGGCTCTGGTGCTACAAGTGCTGTGGCTGAGCCCAGGGATGCTGAGCTGCCTCTGTGCAGCTCTCCCAGAGTGTTTAACAGTGCCCTGCAAAGGGGCAAGGAGGGGGTAATGCTGAAGAAACAAAGCCAAGAAGCACAACTGAAACAAAGGCAGATGGCCAGAAGGGGGGGGTGGGAGGGGGGTGGTGGTGTTAAAGAAGGACTTGGGGGGATTTAAAAATGAAAAAGAAAAACCCTCGTTAGCCCTTCTCCTGCTTCCCTTGAAGGCTCTGGAGAGTTAGAGGGAAGGCGCCATGTGAGGAACAAAGGATGGCAACCTCGGAGGGTGACAGAAGGAGGATTGTTTAGCGAGGCAGTGTAAAAAGCTCTCTCCCAGGCACTATTTTAAATCCAAATAGCTTACAGCCCGCTGAATTCTTAAGCCATTTGCCTGATCTCTCAGCTGTTCTTCATTGAGAACACAAGCACATATTTGAAAGCAAAAAATAGAGAGGAAAAATAAGCATCTATAAGAAATAACCAAACCTGTGTTTAGAATCTGTGGACCAGCGTAGGAAGCACGGCGTCCTCACAGCCTCTTCCACCTTCTCCCTTTCAGTAGAGATGCTCTAAATGTCCTTTCTCCTAAGGAAATAAAATGTATTTGTAAAGGGAAATGCCATTGCTCTAAGAGAACAGAGTCACAGTTTGGTGAACGATATTAGCAGGTTATCTGGGTCCAGGATTTTGTGCATTTTCCCTCAATTCATCACTGTGGGCATTCTTCCTCCAGGATTTTCTTTTACTGAAAAATCCTTTGCCAGTGGTGGATACCTGTGTGTGTGCCTTTGGGTACCACAGATAAGGTTGGTTTAGGCATGAACCAGGAGTCCCATTCCTCTCAAAACTGCTCAAAATCAGAAAGAGCAGAGAGAATGGAACTGGGAAAAAGACAGAAATGGGTCAAAAAAAAGGCATTTGGGGTCCAAGTCTTATCTGCTCTCAATTTACATTGACTCTGTGAGGTAATATTTAAGCAATCTACTCCCACGCCAACTTAGAGCAGCTACTTCCAACCACCCCAGATGCTGGTGTGCAGAACCAAGAATAAAAGCAAGATCATGGAACGGTATCAAAAATGAGCCAGCGGTGTCCTTCAAACACGTGCCCATGTGCCAGGCTGGAGAGAAACAGTGTCAGAAGTTCACCAGTGTGGTGAGAGATGACAAGGGAGCCAGGCTGACAGGTCTGGACACATTATATCCGCTTTACTTTCATTTATACATGACTAAGAAGAGCGAAGGATACAGAGCTCTTCTCCCGATATTCTGTTAAAAATGAAATGAGGTTACTGGTCTCCTGCAAGCACAGATGAACATCAATCACCAAATCCTCATAAAGCCATAAAACACCGTCCCTGGGTGTTATTAGAAAGCAAGAATTAAAAGTTGATCAAGATGGGAAGAGGAGAATCTCAAGGGAGAATGGATTTCATAAGCAATCAGCAAATCCTTCTCCAGGCACCTCAGTGTGACTGGCGAGACAGTGAGAAAATCAAAAGAGCTACTACCTAAAGAGAAACATACAGCGAGCGTTCCCAGCAGGCATCTTAGGAAAAGCCCTCAGTAGGATAGAGTCAATCCTTTCCTGCCTCTTCCTGCTTTCCTGAAGCAAAGGGGAAAAAAGACAGGGAAAGAAGAAGAAAAAACAAAAAGAGTACAGTATTTTCATTACTGCTTATTTTTATCTTGCAGAACATATTTGTATGTGCTGGAGGAAAGGTTTCCATTGGCTTGTCACAAAACCTCTGCAGTTGGGTATGGTAGTTGGCTGCCTTGGCTTAGGACAGGTTTAAGGCAGGATTATTAAGGAGGGCAGACTGAGCTGAGCTCTTAGGCAGAAGCTCTTCCCTGTGAGGGTGCTGAGGCGCTGGCACAGGGTGCCCAGAGAAGCTGTGGCTGCCCCATCCCTGGCAGTGTTCAAGGCCAGGTTGGACACAGGGGCTTGGAGCAAGCTGCTCCAGTGGAAGGGGTCCCTGTGCGTGGCAGGGGTTGGAGCTGGATGAGCTCTAAGGTCCCTTCCAACCCAAACCAGTCTGGGATCCTATGAATATCAGACTGGAGAACAATCCAGAGCTGGAACAGCAGCTGATGAAGATCAGCAGAGGCTGCATTTCACTTCTGGTAATCCCATTTTGGATACTGGAACTCAGTCATGGGGAATGAAAACGTGAGTGAAGCATTTCTTTATTCCAAGACTGATTGGATGCCAAAGCAATGCTTTGGGGCACTGGCCTGCACGTCCCACTTCTGGCAAATCCAACAGTTGAAGGGATGCAGAGTAATGAGGTTTTTCCTGCCGCTCCTTGCTGGTGGTGCTGGAAATCCTTGTATTCCCAGGCCTGGATCACTAACACTTCCTAAGACATCCTCATGCATAAGAGGCAGGGACTTGCACAGGTCAGAGTTAAGAGCACTGGCTAGAGGGAGACTTGGGGAAGAGCTGCACCCATCATCAACTACCCCCTTCAACACCAGGGACCTCTCTCAGAGTTCCCTCTTAGATGTTCAGGAGGCAGATGTATAAAAATGCCACCAGGAAAATGCACTTCCCCCTTTGCTGTCCCTCCCACCTCCATGTGCTGCCGTCCCCTCCACATCCACTTTGGAAACGAGTATTTCCACTGATTATGAATAACTCCTGGCGCTGATGGAGAGGGTCAGGATCAGCCCTCCAGGCCAGGCCTGCCCGGCACAGGCACCTGCCAATATGCTGCCTGTAATGAATGCAGCAGGGGAACGTGGTGTTTTAATGAAAGAAAACCCATTTCAAGCTTCTGAAGGGCTATTATAAGCTCTAGCACAATGAAACACAAGACATAAGCCTCTTTATATTTAATAATACATGTTATAGATTTTTTCCCTGTGGAGAAACTCCAATGAACACCTTTTTTGTTCAAATCTGTTATTGCAGATTCTGATTATTCACTGAAAATCTAAACCTTGAAGATGTGACCACATGATTTTCCAGAAAGTTCAGATTTCTGCACCAAAGCAGACACTTGCAAAGAGTTACGAACGTTTTGTAGAGCCATTGTTAGCACAAAACCAACTCTGACATTAAGTTTTTAATTAGCCGGTCCAAATGTGTATGCAAATGAAACTACTGACTCCCTGAAGCAAAAAGGCATCTACAATAGAAGCTACAGGAAAGCAGGAGTGTTCTGAACTTAGCATATAATAAAAGCAGATTCCTAAAGTCAGTTTATCTCATCTTGGCACACCAAACTTGCCAGCCTCCCACAACAACACACTGTGCCACCCAAGCCCCAGCTGCTGAAGGGGAGCCCCAAGTTTACTGTTACTGCTTTCTCCAAGAGAAGATATGCCAGTTAATCTGATTCAAACATCTGTATCTTCATAACTGATGCAACGCAAAGGTATTGTGGTTTAAAACGTGTATTTATTCCCCTTTAAAATATGGGGTCACCTCCGGAATACCGGCTACGCTGCATGTCTGATTGGCTTTTATTCCCCACATTGGAGCAGGCTGCGAGGGGAGGCAAAGCCTCAGTAGAAGGGGATTGAGATGCACAAGAGACAGAAGGAGGCAAAGAGAAAGAAAGCAGCTCAATTAATGGCCTGATCCTGGTGAGAAAACAAGTACAAATGTGGTCCCTGAAGTTGCCGCCGCTGGTTGCAGCAAGGAGCCTGATCGATAGATGTTAGTGATGGTGCAGGGAGGAAGGCAGGAGCCCTGCACCGGGTTACAGCGGACAGGGCACAAGTCCCCAGATCACAATAAAGCAGCTTGAAGGTGACAGATTTCATTGTTGAAGGTGATAAAACTCCCCGTGGCGCGCTGCAAAACAAGGGCTGGAGCTCAGCCTGCAGAAAGGGAGGCAGCGCCCAGACAATGCAGGGGGAGGTTTCTCCTCCTCTCCTTGCCCTGGCAATCAGCAGAGAAGTGCCCGAGGTGGAGCTGCTGCTCGTGAACTGAACCTCAGTATTTCCACTTGTGTGGTGGAAGTGCAACGGGGCTGCCACAGAGCAGGAAAAAGTAAAGGCTGTGCCTATGGAGACCCATCCAGAACAAGTCTGACCTTCACTGCCTTCAACCTGTGCCCTCTCTGCTTTGTGGAAGGGTTCAGTAAAGACAGGTGTCATCTCTTCTGGTCTAGCAGAGGCTCAGTCCCGGACTGTGCCCCCAATCGGGCTGCTTGAAATGCAGGAAAGACTCAGCAGCAAAGATGTGAAAACAAGAGGAAAATCAAAGCCTGAGACTAAACTAGCAATTAGACCAGCCTCGGAATACATTTCAGTCAAATCAATCCATACAAGGATTTCAGTCACGGTGCGCTGGTGCCCACACTTCTTCCTCCCTCCCTTCCTCTCCTGCAACCCAGCACTGCTGTCTGCTTCATCAGAATATGCAAGAAGTGCAGTGACAACACGTCTCCTAAGATGCTTTATCAGTTTTGCAAAGTCCCAGTTCATCCTCCTCCGTGGGCCTATTTACATATTGATGTATTTATTCGACTCTCTCTCAGGCATGCCCCATGAGATTCAACTATTTTATTTACAAAGACACTGGGGTTGCAGCTCCTAACAATTGAGTCAGCTGAGCTAGAACTTTGCATGTGCTTTCAGATTGATGTGTGAACAGACAAATCGGCCCCGTCAGCAATTCAGGAGCAGCTAGCGGGAGGACTGGTTAAACCCCATCTATATCACCCAGTCAATAGCTGCTGCATCTGGGGAAATGAACTGGGGTGTTGGGAGGCACAAATATGCAGAAGGGAAAGGTAATGAGCCAGCAGAAAGAGTGATGGATAAAACCTGGAGGAGAAACTTTGCCAACAGGACTCACCTTAGAAGGTTGGTGCTCCAGAGTGGTTTGTGCTTCATGGGAACTTGCAGGCTCTTGGGAGCTGCCCCTGCTCCATCTCACCCATCAAAGTCACCTGTAAAAACAGAACAAAGCTGTTCCTCACTGAGGGGTACACCTGGAGGAAAATGAGGGTGGGAGGAGGAGGGAGAAACACCTTGTGAGATCAAAGTCAGCAAAATGCCATTTAAGAGAGGCAAACTGCAGCCCTGCACTGATGTGATGCTCCAGGAAAGGGTCCAAAGCCCTTTCCATGGAGAGCATTTCCCTGGGCAGGCCTCAGTGGAACAACTCTCATCCTCCTTCTCCCCATCAGCACCTCATCAGGCTGCATTTGTCAATGCTCGCTTCTCCATACCCTATCCCTTCGCAGCCATGCTTCGTGGTATCTGTGGGAAGGAAACATCAAGGTGGCATTCCTATACCAGTATAATTTTCCATGTGCCATGCTGTGGACACACTGGGTTCTGCTTAAAGCCCCACAGCTCCTGCCCTGGCCCCCTGCAGCCATCACACCTAAACCTATTGTTGGCATTGGATCACAGCATCTCTAATCCACAGGGACCAGCAATGGACACCTCCAGGTGTACAAATGTGCAGCACGTGTTCCTGTTGGTTTCTCTGCCTCCCACCACACAAAATATGTCCACGAGAGCATTCCAGGCTCCCTCCAACACCAGAGCTGAAAAGTCACCTGCGTATTTAGCCCAGCATAAATCTGGCTGCTACTGCCTCTCACTGATGGCAGCTCCTCTGGTGCCAGCATTCTTCTCAGCATCCCTGACATTTCAAAGTTCTATTTAGAGACCTGCATGGGAATTTAAGTTTGAAGTTTTGTACTGAGCACTGTTATATAAATACCCTCCACCACCTGCCTATGGGTCTATCAGTGCCTTTAACTGAAGGGGCAGAGGCAGCCCAAGGAGGAAGCACTAAACAGCACTCAAACCATTTCAACAGCCGGCACTTGTCTCCCTTAATTCTCACCCTGCTCTTTTGCTGTCGCCAGACTAATGAATCACAGGTACAAGCTCAAGCATTAATTGCAACAATGAATCATGGGGTTTGTCTGTGCCTGGCCATTTCCAGCCTATAGGAATGCAGCTACTCCCGTTACTTTTATAATTATTATGAGTACAAAGCCAGCAACACGCTCTACATTTTGCAGGCATTAAAAAAAGACAGGGTATTTGGCCCGAAGCATTAACAATCTGGTGCATATGCAGGGGAGTGATGGATGCATCGCACTGACAGCCTGAAAATGTGTTTCCTGAATCATTTCTGTGCAGGAAACTTTCTGAAGGTGTTAGGAAAAGCACAGGTTTTAGGACGCTGCTGCCTCCAGCTCTGCTGGTCAACATGCTCCAGCAGGTCTGGGCCACTCATGGGTTGTTGGGACATCCAAGGCGCACGCTGCATCCACACTGCCCGGCTCATCTCTTCCCCACTGGAAAATTATAGAGGACAGGATGACTTTGGAGTGCAGATGGCTGGGGGGAAGAGCTCTGTAACCTCTGTGCCTCCAGGCTCAGGCTCAGCTTGAGCAACACCATAGAAAGCCTGCATGCAAAGGGATGCTGTGAACCTTTGATGGCGAGGCACATGCTGGGGACTCCCGGTACAGCTGGAGCTGTCAAGGGGACAACTCTTGGGTCTGACCCCAGTGACGAGGCTAATGGCTCACAGGGCAGACAGTCATTCCTCTAGAAGGGAATCTGGAGCCATCCACCCCGGTGCTGGGTGAGCCAATAACTCCTCCTAGCACAGGGATGGAAACACATCCTGAGGGACTGCACGAGGGTGCTGTTGTGAGAGATTAGATTATAGAGGTATTAAATGAGTAACGCACATGACGTGTCCTTCCCGGGCCAAAGCACCTGCATACACAATGTGTGGCTCTGATGTGGGGTTGACAGGTTCAGGCAAATGGCTCAGGACTAATTTTCAGTGTCAGACTGGCAGAATGCAGCCCAGGCTTTTGATGCTGGGGAAGATGAAGACGAAGCAAGGGAAACAGCTTTTGAGGGAGAAAACAAGAGCTAAACAGCCATAAGCCCCCAGTTTGTCATCCAGGCTCCAGGACCCGTTTCCTTTCTCTGCTAGCACCAAGGTTGGGGAGAAGTGGCTTGAAGGAGAGCTCAAGGTGAGCACCCATTATTTACTGCTGCTGATGAATAAGCAGCCCCCCACACTGTGTTTTCCTGCAGGACAGCAAAAGCTCTGCACTGCTGAACAGTCTGGTTACTTGTCATTTTTTGCCCCCCTGGGTTGTTTTTACATGCTTTTCCAGTGAAACGTGGTACCTCTATTGCTTGTTCACAAACACATAAACCAATGGCATTCTCCTCAGTCACCTCTGCAGCTCCAGCAGATCAAGCAGGGGAGAGCTGGAAAAGTCACCCACCAAGGCAGGGGCTGGGAGAACAACGTAAAAAATAAGGACCCAAAAGGATTTGTGTGGGGGTTTAAATAAACATAAAGTACTTCTCTCTGCCAGTTTAAAAGCTTGGGCTCGTTTGAACTTCCTAGGGAAGTGGGGAGCACTGAGGAGAAATTGGCAGGCTCTGATCTGGCTGCTTTTCTTTATCATGGGAAAATCCACTCCTGTCTCCTTGTCCAAGGGTCTGAATTCCTCATCTCACACTGTGTTTGCACAGCAGTGTGAAACGTATCCCCAACACTGCTCTTCATCCACACCTGACAATGCCAGAACAGCGAGGGCACTGAGACATGCAATGGGAATGGGGATGCCACAGAAGTGGGAAGCGAGTGGCCGCTCCTGTTCCAAGGCTGGACTCTGGTGCTCCATTCACCACATCCATGGGATTTCAAAGGCAAACCCAAGGCACGTATTTCCTCTTAGGTGCTCAAGGGTCCTGGTTTGGGAGCTGTCATCCCTGTGGGAAGCTCCCACCCCCCTTTCTACAAATGTTCCCCCTGCTGCCATTGAATCACCAAATGATGGAGAGACCATGGGGAGGGAGTGAAGCGGTGGTTATCACACTGCTCTGCTCACTTCACTTGTTTTAAATGACCATGAAAGCCAAGTGGGGGGAAGAAAACACACGTGGAAAGTTCACTGAGTTGCTGAAATGTCTTTAAAAGAGCATTATGGGCTGGATTATGATGCTTCAGCTCCCACTCATGGGATCTGCTCATATGATCAGGCACTTTGCCCAGGACCCTGTCTCTCAATGATCTGTATCTCTCACTGCAGATCTGGAGTTGAGGACGAGCAGATACCCACTCTGTGCACCTAACAGGGCATCTGGGGAGACTGAATGCTCCAGAAATGGCCAGGATGGGACCAGGCTGGAGGCACCTGGTATCACTGAGGGCTACAAGGGTTTTGTCCTTGTTTCACGGCAGCGTTTGCTATTCCGAGGAGGACAGCCAAGCCCAGGAGGAAGAAGCTGTACCCTATCTGCCCTGGCTATCTGCTCTCCCAGAAGCTCCACTTCTGGGCAGAGGAAGGGGTAGCCCGCTCTGCTCTTCACATGCAAAGGCCCCTCGGGCGCTGTGACAAAACCAGATGAAGCCACAAAGCGGCCTTGGTGAGATGCTGTCTCAAGGTAGAGGTATGGGAAGAGCTTGCAGGGGGGCTGCAGAGCTCGAGGGGGAGATGTGGGCAGAAGAGCACGTAATAGCAGCTGGTGTGGGAGAGGACAGTGACCAGAGGGACAAGAATGCCACAGGAGCAGGAGGGAACTTCCCATGGAGGGGGGCAGCAAACAAGACGCAAACGTGGGGAGAAGACTCAAGCAGAGAAGAGAGAGGAACTGCCCTGTGTGGCTGCAGCTTGAGTCTAGGAGACAGGGAGCTGGGGAAGGCAGGGACCACAGTTCAGCCCAGAGCAAGCCACCCACACCTGAGGGAGAAAGCAGGGCAGGCCCGTGTGGGAAAAGGGGGCTCCATGGATCCACTATGGGAGCCCAGGGATCTGACAGGGAACCTGCTGGACCTGCTGGGCAGCTGCACACGGGCTCACCTCAGAATGGAACAAAACCTGCCTCTGGCTTGTTACACCTCAATTTTATTAGGAGTCCAATATGCACTCAAGTAAATGAAGTGTGTTCCTCTCTAGTCCATCTTCTGCTAGATTGTAAAACCTTCTAAGCTGCAGGAAACGCTACCAAAACCCCTTCAGGAAGGATCCTGGCATGTTTATGCCTAAGTTCCAAGTCCATAAGTGCAAATCCAGAGGCATGTGAGAGGAGGAGGAGTTGAGCATCTCTGCCCTGCTGTGTGTGTCCCTCTCACACTGGCTGGGCACTGCACAGGAGCAGTTTCTAGGACACCCCATCTCCTTCTGCCCCTATCCTCCGTGCCCTAGATGTTTTCTCAAATGCCTTCCAACCACAGGAGCTCTGAAACCTAGCGAGGTTTCAAGGCAGCAAGGGTGAGGTGGGGATACAAATCCTATTTTGGCTGGGAAGATAACTAAAAGGCAGTCAGGGATGGGAGTGGGGAATGGAGACCTTCCTCAGCACCTCTTGCTCCACTGGGTCCCACTAGGTCAGCACTTCCCCGAATTGCTGTATCACCAGATGATGATTGGGCCTCTGACAGGACATGAATAAAGCCAATAAAGTTCTTATTTCTGGCTATAAAAACAATAAGGAAAAGCAGAGATGGGGGATAGGCTGCCCAAAGCTTCCCCTGGCTGCACTGAGCTGAGGGAGGCTCATGCCTATATGCCACGAGCAATAGGCTTGAAATGAAGCTGTAACTGCGTACAATCAGAAGCACTTCCCAATTCCTGCCAAAAACCCACCCACCACACCCCCACCACAACCCCCAAACCCACCCCAAAACCCCCACAACCCCCCCCACCAACCCCAAACAAACACCACCAACCCACAAACCAACCACACCAACAACACCCACCCACCAGCCTGGGGATATTTGGTTGGAGCACTCTGAGCAGTTCTGAGATTTTAAGAGGCATTTCTGTAGAGAGATTTCCTACACAGCTGCTGGCAGAAGAGCTGCCCTCATCCCTACCTGCAGCAGTTACACCACTCCTCTTACGAAGCTCTGCAAAAGGTGCAGATCCCAGCATGCCAACCCCTCCCAAGGCCAGGAGACAGTGGCTCTGAGTCTAGGTTTAAAGGGTGAAGGGGACATTTAGGAACAATTTCCTGGGTTTGCAGCCCCTGTAACCTCATAAGCCCTGAAATGAGCCCCTGGGATACATCCACTGGAGGTCCTGAGCAACCCATAAAATGTAAAGAGGGTGAAGGTATCTTTCTGCTACATCAGTGATTCCCTGTTCACAGCTGATAGAGCCTGAAACCCCAATAGTTTCAGAGACAGCCTGAGCACTGCAGAACAGGTCACAGAACCGTAGAATCCCAGACTTCTGTTGGAGGGACCTTAAAGCTCACCC